CAGCCTTCTGGTTAGCAGTCAAGTGTCTTAGCCACTATGCTACCAGAGCTCCCATATATAATGTAAACATATTAAATATAAATATAAGTTATATGTATTATATTGGTCACCACAACAAATAGAACTTAGCTTGTGATGTTGTACTTTGAAGAATGTATATGCAGATTATTGTGAGATGTTCACATATCATTGCTGTATGCTATAAAGTTGGTCACACGCTACCTAGAAGACTATTATTGCTCTGTCTGCTAGTATTTTGGTAATAATAGCACTTATCTTTTGTTGTGTATTTTTGTCTCCTACCAGCTTGTACAGGCATTACTGAGGAAATATGTTTCTTCTCTGCAAGCACATGAAACCTGGGGTAATTCCATTCTTGCCATGGGACTGTGGCCAGATTCTCTGCCCTCAGTTCACTTTGCTACTGAAGACTCTCACCTCTCTATAGTCCGAAGTGATGGACAGATCTTAGCGTATTGCCTCAACAGAATGAGCATGAGAACCAGCAGCTGGGCAAGGTCAGTGGAAAGTTGAGCTACTGGGTCTCTCTGATACCTTGAGTAGTTTTTGTTTTTGCTGCTGATGGTCATGACCCAACATACTCAACCAGAGTGTTTTGTGGTCCGTAATTATCCAGCTGTAAAATATTAATTTTACTATTCAGTGTGTCTCCATATTTATTAGGTTTATGTTTTAATTGCCATTTATGAGGGACTCAGTTTTTCCCCATTACCTCTATGATATAATATTTGTAAAATGTTCCCAGTTCTTTGAAATGCAATACAGTCTTTCTAGCACTAACTTTGCTCATTTCAATGAATTTCAGGAGTCAGCCTCTCACCTTGCAAGACTTAGAGAAAATTATGCAGTCCTCCAATCCTGAGAACCTGAAGTTCAGTGCAGTTGAGATGGATACATCTTGGATTGATGAACCAGATGTTCTGGCTATGGCTGTTAAATTGCTCATAGAAAGAGCAACCAATCAAGATTGGATGCTCAGAGTTAAATGGCTTTATCATTTAGCCAAGAATATACCACAGGGGCTTGGTGAGTAGAAAAGCTTAATTTGTATAAGTAAGCAATTTATGTATGCTTATCCTGTGTTAGTGTTTCTGCAACTGTGTTATTCTGTGACTGCACTCTTAAAATTAGATCTTGGAGATTTCCTACAAAGAACTTTGTGATCTACCATCACTATTTGTATAGCTCTTTAAAAAAATTAAGAAACAAGTCTGCCCTTAGAAATGTACCACAAGAAAAACTTTTTTCCCCCATTTTAGGCTCTGTCCATATTTCTATCAGATTCAAAAGGAAAAGCTATTATATTAATGTTATTTTTCATTTTTTGAACATCCATTTTTGCTATAGTATTGCCGTACAACCATTTTATCTGGGTAAAGTGTGGCTTTTGTTAAATTCATTTCCATGACATTAATTTCAGTGTCTTAAGAAGCTGTTCTGTAGGAGGGAGATGGGGCAATCTAATTCCGTAAAGATTTATAGCCTTGGAAATCCAGTGGGGGTTGCTGTGAGTCAGAATCAACTCAAAGGCAGTGAGTTGAGAGTTTGGTTGGTTAAAAGTGCATGAAGTTCAGTGCTCCATGTTGTCCCTCTTAGTTTCTTTGTATTTTGTTCTTTCTAAGAGGGGAACCAAAAACAGCAGTTTTACCTATAGTAGTACTATAAAAGTACAAGACATGAAATTTGCTGGTAGAAATTGCTGACTGTATGAGTTCACATTCACCTTTCTGTTCCGTGACTTCCCCTCACTCTCAGAATAATGTACTGTCTTCTGAGGGGTCACCCTGCTCCTCAATCTGAAATATACCCCCCCCCACACACACACAATTACATTCTTTCTCAGTCTTTAAGACTGCTTTCATAAAACTTACATTTCTCAAATATTATTGAGTGGTGCATGTGGTTATCTGTCCAGATATGTGTGGATGCAGTTTGTATGTGTATTCTTATCTGCACAGTCGAGTACAATAGCCACTAGCCATAGGTGGCTACTGAAATTTCAGCATAAATTAATGAAAAATAAAATCTGAAAGTCAGTCCTTAGTTGCACTAGCCACATTTCAGGTGCTTGGTAATTGCATGTGGGTAGTGCCTACTATAGTTGATAGCACAACTATAAAATATTTTCGTCACTGCAGACAGTTCAGTTGTACAGCATTGTTTTAGAAACTGACCTTTGCTTCTCCTTCTTCCACAGAATCAATACGGATTCATTTGGAAGCCAGTGCTGCATCTCTTAGAAACTTTTACTCAAATTCTCTCTCTGCTGGGGTCAGTAATGTCATCAAAATATTGCAACCAAATGTAACAGGTACTACACTTACTTTTGATTTCTAGTTCTCAACACTGTTCTAGAAATATATTTTCCAAGTTCCATGGGAAAGAGACTTCTCTAAGCTCCCACCATAACAAATAGTGTTTGCAGGAAGGCTCAAGTATAGAGATGCAAATTCTGCTTTTTTGTTTGAAATTATTTGTTTAGCCTCCAGCTTTTGAAAGAGACTAATTAGATACACACATAGAAAGAACATGGGAACTGGAAGACTGGCGCTGGTGCTAGCTTCACCACAAACTGACTTGTGCCCACATTTGAAAAATGGGAGAATTAGACTCTTATTTCTCTCAGATCCCTTCCACTTATAACATGGTGTGATTTATTAGTACCATTAACAGGAAGAGTTTAGAACCATGAGATATTTGACCTGAAGGGGAAAATATACAGGATCAGTTTCTTCAGAAAACATAAAACCTTAATGATCAAAGTTATAAAGCCTTAATGACAAAGTTTTAAAACCCATAATGATAAAAGAAACAGACAACCAACCAATCAAGTGAGTTATTCAGGGTTTCCTTTTTTTTTAAATAAGGAATAGAGCAAATTTACTTATTAGTGTAGAGTAATATAAATTTGATTGAACATGGTATTACTGAGGAAAATAGGGTAGCTTCACAGACCCAGGTTTTTATTTTTCCATCTTCATTTGATGTTGATCAGAATACAGCATTAGCCACTGGGTTTGGAAAACTGTGAATGATGCCTTTGCTGCTAAACCAACTACCTTATGTACACTAAAGGGAATGAGGTGAATGGTTAGGAAGAAATCAAACATAGAGAAAACTACTATAGTACTCAGGTTATGGCTTAACTCAATTATGGCTTTCTGGTTTTGGAAGGATTGTAGCCTTTAGAAGCACAGTTTTAGAGAGAGCAGCAGGTTCCCTTTTCAGCAGATACTTCTTGTCCACTGTTGGAACACATTAGCTGTACTTCGTCTTCCTTTCCAGTTATATAGGTATGTCTTTGTTAAGGACTTTAGAGCATGGGCTTCCTCCTTTACATACTTTGTTGGCTACAGTACTGTAGGCCTTTGTATTCTGTGGTGGATGCTTTTTAAAACTGAAGTAGACCATTGTACCATCTTGCCCAGCCAACTTCAAATTACTGCTACCTTTGTTTTCTGTCTTGCTTCCCTTCCTTGGGTCTTTACAATCTTTGGGGAGGGTCAGAATCTTCTCACTGCTGCTTAACAAAACAAGTTCCACGCCCTAGCCAAAGGGGTACGAGGTTGCAGCAGGAGCTATAAGATTGTAAAGAAATGGCTTTTGAGAGAAATAATCTTGAGTTGTTTATCTTATTATAAGCAGATAATAAGAAGCTGTACTCATTCATTTTCTGCCATGCCTGTTTTTTGTGTTCATAGTGACAGATTGGGCTATTAAACTGATAGCTTCTTTTCAGACCAGTAGTGGGAACTGAGTGGGTTAATGCCTTGGTTGGAATGTTTATATTCTAGCCAGAGTTACTTTTATATCTTGCAATGGAATATACTTTCAGGACTAGTAGATATTTTGCATTTGGAAAGGAAATACCATAAAAGTTGTTGAATCCTTCTTTCCTAGTATCTAGGAACATCTTCCTGTTCTGCTTCTTCCCCATCAGGACTCAATGTGATCACAGTAAAATAATGAAAACATTCAACCAAAACTTGCCAGGCAAGGAGTTTTACTACAAAAAAAATTTGTTTTTTCCTTTCTCTTTTTTTCAAATTAGATGAATTTGTGGTCCCTCTGGACCCTCGCTGGAATATTCAGGCTTTGGACATCATTAGAAATTCCATGGATTTCGACCCACAAACGGACCAGTCTGAACAGTTCTTTGCCCTTTTAGAATCTGTTGCAAACAAGTAGGTGAAGTCTGCTGCTCTGAGTACTGTTTGCCTCACTGTGGTTTCACAGGTTTCACCTTTTCTAAGAAGCTGTCAAGTATAACTTATGTGTGTGAACCTGAGAAATGGCAGATCATTAGACATGATTGTCTTCATCACCCCTCTTGCTTTCATGCTTTGCACTCAGTGAAATAATTCTGACCCTCATGTCAAAAAGTCTGCAAATGTTGCAGGTTCTCAGTATTTTAATAGGGTGCTGTAATAGGTAAACTATCATGGCATTAATTATGGGATTTATTATTTAATGTTAAGTTCTTATCAGAAGGTAGTCATATTTACCGCTGTCTTCTGTTGGTGGCTCCCAGCAACTCCTCCCACTTTCACCTACTTGTTCTCTTGCATGTCCTTTCCTCAGCTGTCGGTCTCTCCAGGTTATTTTCCATCCTCAGATGTTGGTGTTGGAGACATACATAGCACCTATATACTTACATATGCACCCATATTAAAATTTACATAATTATTGTTTAAGGGCAATCTTTCCTTGCTCTTTACTGTAATGGTCAGTAGTATTTTTTAATTGGCATCAGTGAGACAGATTTTTAAAAATAACTTTGTAATTGAAGTATAGCATATATACAGACAAGTGCACCAATAATGAATATATGTGTTTGATGAATTTTCACACTGTGATCCCACCCATGTGGTGTGTACTTATACCCCAGAGACCCCCTTATCCTCCCTCCCAATGACTCCGCCTTACTTTCCACCAGGTAACTTCCAACCCCACAGACCAATTTTATTCTGACCAAGTTTAAGAGTTCACAATCCGATTTGTCATGTCAGGGCAGAGCAACAATGAGGCCTGGGAATCCCCCCAGAGTTGGCTTTCTCCAGTCATTTGTCCTGCTTCCCCCACCCCAGTTGCCATCACTTTCACCTCCATCTCTCTGGTGCAGAAGATGCAGAGGCAGGGGAGGACTGGCAGGATAAAGGAAGATGAGGTTCTAAGGGTCCCAGGATTGAACAGGTAGGGGATATGACTGAAGAGTATTATTAGCTGGTAACTTTATTACATTGTTTCATCTCATTCTAGGACAATTATATATCTTGACCGGGAAAAACGGATTTTTACTGAAGCAAATTTGGTTTCTGTTGGTAGCAAAAAGTTTAGAAATAGTGTTTTGAGAATGTCCTTTGAATTTCATAAAGGTAAGGTCATTTACCTTTTTTATTTTTCAGTTAAGCATCTGATTGCGTAATTGGCTGAAGTTGAGAGATGTGTTCACAGCTGCTGCCATTTTACTGATCCCTTTTTAATTGCTTGGCCAGATTTTAATCATTCACCTTGTTTAATAGTAATGGCCAACATTTACTGGGCACTTACTCTCTGCCAGGTACTGAGCTTAATGCTTTACATGACCTTGATGGTGTTTACCCCCTTTTTTTTTTTTTAATTGTATTTTATGTGAAAGTGCACACAGCAAGATAGGATCCCATTTAATAATTTCAGTGTGTAATGTTCAGTGACATTGGTTACATTCTTCACATTGTGTCAATGTCCTCATTATTTCCATTCCAGTTCTTTCACTCCTGTTAACTTAGTCATACTGTTGTC